AATCCAAGTGTTCCTTTATCTCCCCCGACAAGTCCATCCTCCTGTTGACCTCTTCACACGCACCCGTGTCATGATGGGTGAGCATTGTTCACCACGATAACCGGGTTTCGTCGGCCTGTGCATCTGAGCTTGGAGTATAGACCCAATGCTCTTTCCCCAAACAGCGTTTCATGGCAGAGAAGCAGTAGAATGTGGTGTTTAAGAATGTGGGACCCACCTGGCCAGTTGGGCTCGGCGGTTAGAGTGTCAGCCCGTGGACCGGAGAGTCCGGGTTCGGTTCCCGTTGGGGGCACGTGCCTGGGTTGCAGTTTGTCCCCGGCCCTGGTTGCGGTTGTGTGGGTGGCGGCCACTCCATGTGTCTCTCTCATGTGGATATTTCTCTCTCCCTCCCTCCCTCTCCCCCTCCCGCTTAAATAAATAAATAAATTAATAAAAAAAAAAAAAAAAAAGAACGTGGGACCCACGGCCATCCTCCCTAGCTGGCCCTCCCGGCTCTGCCTCGCTGTTTCCGGTTTTCTCATTTGCGCGAAGGGGTAATAACAGCTCCCCTCCCCCTTCGGCTGGCTGTCAGGGTTCAACGTGTCCATGTGCACACAGACACAGCTCCCCATTGCCTGGAGTGGCACGAGGTCTTCCTAACAGAGGCTGCTAGTAGCGGGCTCAGACTCCGGTTTATCCCGGGGCGCTCCCTGTAGAGACTGTCACCCAGTTAACCACGAAGACCTTGGTGGGGTGGGAGGAGGCAACTTGCTGGGACAGGAGAGAGGGACCCACTCTGGTGCCGTGCTGCACGGTGTCCCTGTTTGGAGGGCAGTGGCAGAGACGCTGTGCAGGGGTCGACTGCTTCTTGTCTCAGGTGTTCCTCCAGAATGTGGTGTGGGCAGGGTTTCCCTGGAGTGTGTGTGGAAATACACAAATGACTGTCAGGCATCCCCCTTCCTCAGGAGCCCATGGACATGACAACTGCCTCAGGTTAGACTCATCTGAGTCAGGACATCGTCCCGAAGGGGAACCCGTCAGAGGTGGCCCCTAGAATCCCCAGCGTGGGGTCTGACACTGTTCCTCTCCTTTGCTTCTGCTCCTGCAGCTCCTCGAAGGAACTTCTCTCTCCTCTGTTCACGGCGATTCCCTCACAGAACTCTCGGGGGAGGTCAAGGGTCCTGCTAGGTGCTCCAAGCAGTGAGGTTTGTTTTCATAGCAAAGGACGCTGCAGTTTCAGGAAGACGCCTGGTAGACGAGAAAGTCTCCACTCTCTTCACCTTATTGGTTGAGGTCTTGCTTTTTCTTTTTCTTTATTGATTTTTAGAGAGAGAGAGAGAGAGAAACATCGATGAGAGACCCCACTGGGGATCGGGCCCACAACCTGGGCATGTGCCCTGACTGGGAATCAAACCGGCGACCTCTTGATGCATGGGTCAGCGTTCAACCACTGAGCCACACCGGCCGGGCTGAGGTCTTGCTTTTCTCCAGTCTGTTCCCCAGGCTCAGTCACAAGGCACGTTTGGTCACATTTATTTAATACAACTTTTCATGTAGTAGTCATCAACTTCATTATCTTTGAATTTTATTTTTTCACTTGAATGTGCTGATCTGCATCTTTCTCGAATATTCCAGGGCTCTTGGTCACTTGTGTGCTTAGCAAACCCTTGCTCGGGGACATTATAATGGGCATGTTTCCAATTTGGGGAAGGCGTCTGGTTTGTTACCCTCTGAAATGCCTCAACTCTGTGCTGTGGAAGCTGCCAATACTTCTGACTGTGGACTATATCATGTAGAAATTTGCATCTGGGCAGGAAATGTCGACTTAAAATTAGCTGATTTAAGAATCCCCAGTGCTGAATCGCTTTACATTTCTCGGCGTTGATTTGCCTCCCAGCATTTTTTCCCTCCTCGCCTCAGTCTTAGGCTCTCAATTTCGTAAATTCTGACAATGCAGGAGATTTGTGACTCCCGGGGGGCAGCGTAGGTACACTCAGCGTTTGAGGGGAACTGCGCTGAGAACCGTCCTACTTGGTAGGTAATGCCAACTATTAAAATCCTCTAGTAAAGAAAAAAAAAAGGTAATGGCAGTCTCCTGGTGCATAGACAAGCCGGTTGCCTTCATTAACTTCAAGTCCTGTCAAGCATGGGATAAGGTATCTTATTTCCTGGGAGAGAGCTTATTTTTAAACTTCTTCGAAACTGACTTTAGAACTGACGGGGAAACAGAAATCTTTTGTATTTGAGACTGTAAGGCTGGGAGGGGGCAGGGTGGATCACCATCACCGTCAGCGGAGATATTTCGATTAGACTGGTGTGTGTTTGGGATCCATCTGGATTTCTCAGGTCCTGACTGTAAATATTGTTCGTGGTGTTGGTTTGCGTCTGCTAAAAGAGCCAGGTGGAGGTTTTTGACGTGTATCAGGTTAATTGGATAATCGCTCTCGACTCAAATTTGTGTTGTGTGCTTCTAGCCAAAGTCAAGAATAGCGTTCTTCTGTTTGATGGGATTTGGATTCATTTCTCTGTCTATTCTAAAACGATCACATACATGAATGGTATCATTCGTGACAGGGATGAGCAGTAAACAGGATGGGATACCAAATATTCCTATAAATCACTTCAACATCGAATAGGATCATTATTTGGCTTGTATTTTTTGAATTCTCTTACCACTCCAATATACCCCAGATCTGTTTACTTACAGATTGCTGTCAAACTCCCTGGGGCTAGATTTTCAATAAATAATCATGATGTAAAATACATTTAAATAAAAATAATAGGCACTATTTCAGCAAAATTATGATATAGTGACAACTTCCTTATTTTCCTTGGCATTTTAAGGTTTATGAAATATTTTAGTAATACATTTGTATAATATCCAATTGTATTAATCTATTCATACAACATTAGACCATTACTGAAACACTTTGGGGAGGATATTGTTTTTCCATCCATTTTCTATTTGGAAAAGCCAATAGGTTAGGGAACTCATCGAAGTTTATGGAGCTAGTTAACAAAAGAGTCATTAAAAAACAAAAACAAACAAAAAAACACCTTAACCATTCTGACTTGCAAAGCATGCTTTATTATTATTATTATTATTATTATTGTTATTATTTTATCCTCACCCAAGGACATTTTTGCATTCATCTTCAGATAGAGTAGGAGGATTGGAGGGAGGAAGAGAGAGAGAGAGAAAGATCAATGTGAAAGAGACACATCCACTGGCTGCCACCCACACAACCCCAACCAAGGCCAGGGACAAACTGCAACTGAGGTACATGCCCTTAGTGGGAACCGAACTGGGGTCTCTCTGGACCACGAGCCAACGCTCTAATGGCTGAGCCAGACTGGCCAGGGCTATTTTTTAAAACATATTCTTCTTACACTACTTAGGAATACTGTGTTATGTCACTGCAAATAGTTTTGTTGTGACATGCAATATTATTTTCAGTGAATACTTAGTGGACCTAATTGCTCTGTGTTTTGATGTTTATCTGCCTAAACCCACTTAATTGCTCTTGAAATTGTCTCCTGATTTTGGTTAAACTCTGCTTTGGTGGTTTAGTGTGGCATTTCAGACTGTATCTAGAATCCAGAGTATGTTTGCGTGCTTTGCTAAAAGATAATCAACTCTCAAAGTAGTATTTATTATTAAGATAATGTGAAAACTTGGGTTTTTTTTATTTTTATTTTGTAGATCAACAGTAATCCTTACCATTTGAGTGTATATAGTCACCTTCAGGATTCACATAGGATATATCAACCTTTCCCAAACTGTTTCCTGTACTTCGGATAACTCACGACTCATGTGTCACATGATATTAATGATATTCCCAAGACTGGACCCTCGGTTATATCGGTTTGCAAAAACGTTGCTTCAGCTATGTCTTCCTCTGAGAGTGTCACAGGGCCATTTGCATATTAAAGGCTCTGAGAGGCCCTTCAGTAAAATAATAATACTGAGGGTGCTTTTAAACCAAATCTATTTTGAACACAGTTTGAAAAAGGCCAAAATATGTGCAATGCATTGCTTGGTTGAATTTATTAACGGATCATGTGTGACTGTTTCATCAATTACGGTACAACCAAATACCACAAAAAGTGGCTCTTCCTCCCGAGCGATCTTGTCTTTGTTTGGTAACGGCGTATGGGCTCCTGTTCTGAACTTGACCATGACACTCCAGAAGCCAGGTTGTTAACAGTCTCTTCCCTACCACTCCCCCATATAAATAAAACATTGCTTTCAACCCCATTCTTTTCTTTTTTTCCTTATCTTTTACGTTCATTGCCAGCCCAGATCTTGACCCAGCCCATCCCTCTTTAGGAGAAAGTTTTACAAAAGTCCATCTACTTTTGCCTTTTTCCTAACTCACCCTTCATCTCTGCCCTACTAACATACTCCTTCTTTGACATCCTAGCCTGAATTCATTCCGGAAGCTCCTTTTTCTGTCCTGGGTTCAGTCCACCCTGACTCGCACTTTCCTCTCATTTGAAAGAAAACACAGAGGTATGCCAAATGGTATTACCATTCTCCGTCTGAGACATGTTAATATGGAACAATCCTTGCATCTCATCCCAAGGGCACGTGTGTGCTTTCAACGCAGTTCATTCCACAGACCCATATTGAATCCTCTGTAGGTGCCGGGGTTGAGAGCGAGTCTACTGGTCTACCTGATCCTTCGCGTTGAGCTTTCAGGGGGGCTGATGGTACAAACTGCCACTGTCTTTCACGTGAGAAACAGTTTCTTCGTGTGAATTCCCATGAAACCATGCCTTTTCTTTGATGGCCTTGCATAAAATGTCAATCAGGTTTCTTATTCTCTTCTAGATTTGATTTCCAACCACTGGCCATCTTGGCGTAGCCACAACTTTTTTTTACATTCCCCCTAATACCACTGGGCCATTCTGCATCAGCTGTCCTTTTCCCTAGCACCCAAGGGTGATACTCTCTATGTGCTGCATTGAATTTAAGGACATCCAGCTCCATAGTAAAGCTGTGACCGTCTCGCCCACAGGGGTACGCCTCGACAGAGTACGCGGAGGCCGGCAGAAGTACAAGCGCAGAATAGATGCGGAGAACAGCCCTTACCTGAATCCTCAGCTGGTTCAGCCAGCCAAGAAGCCATGTAAGTACAGCAGACATGTCTGGCTTCCCGGCACCCAGAATCCCCCCCAGCTGGCTCTTGCCCATCCCTTCCGCCTCCCAGGAGTCTGGTCTTGGTTGGGGGGTCATGGCTTCATTCCCAAGGATTGCCTGTGAAGAGCAACGGCAACTCAGCTAATTATTGTGTTCTCTCCTGTGGTTTTTCTCCCCGCTACCTCCTTTCACCTAGTCATTTTGTGGAAGCCTACGCATATTAAGGCATCGCTTATATAGTGCGAATTTCACATTTACTGGTTATCTGTATTTTCAGAGGTACATAAAATGGATCATACTGTGATCATTAGTTCATTGGAGCTGTTAGTTTCAGATTTCACAAGAAAGTGATTTTTTGTAGTTTTCACTAACTAAATGAGTTTGACTGCTCAACCTCCCAATGAAAATACATTAGGAGCCTCATTAATTTGGAGCTAGAGAAGGTTAACACACTAGCTAGCAATAGATTAAAACAAGAATGGGCCCTACTAATAACAAGCACAGGTTGATGGTTCCGTCTCCGGCGCCCTTATGGGCGTTATGAATTGTTTTTAAAGAGCCCATGGTTTCGTAACGCCAGGTTGCAATTTGAAGGGGCGATGGTACGTTGCTAAAATGCAAGCCCCATTCTCTTTGCCATTAAGTAAAAGAGCTGGAATATAGATTGAGGCAATAACTGTATCCCATTTTCTGAAAAACCAGTTCCCAGCTGCTGTGCATTTTAGGGAGTTGATGCAAAGGGTTCACAGTAGGCACTGGGAAGCGCCTTTGTGGAGGGACTTCTCACGTTCAGCTGTCTTCGTCTCAGAAGACACAGCCAGCCCTCACCAGCAGTTCCAAAAAAGACACCTCTGTGTTTTTGTTTTTGTTTTTAATCGGCTTTCAAGGGAAGAGAAGAAAGTGTCCACTTCTAATTCAGAGTCTCCAGGAGGGGTCGCTGCTGTGCACCATTACAGTGAGCATATGGGGATCCGTTAAATAAATAAAACAGACCCTGAACTGTAAACGAAAGGACATTTTAGCTATGTCAAAGGAAAAACAACCAGTTTTACATAAAATTAAAGCTTAAGTGAACATATGGCATAGTTTCCTTTTGCCTTTCCAAAAAACATTATGTTGATTATACCTTCAATTGTCCAATCTGGCATCCCCTCCTCAGCCCGCATTAGCTGTTTGGCATTCTGCAAAGGCAGTCTCGGACTGCACTAAGCAGATTTTGCACATTATAATAAAAAACTTTCTGATAATACAATAAAATGCAATAAACACGAATGCTTAATTTCATTAGAGGTCTCGTTTTCCTGGATTCAGTAATACACGGAGTGCCCATCGCTCATTCATTTTAATGTAAACACTGACAAAGACCATTGATACTTTCCTCTATTGAGAGAAAAATGCGCACCAGCCCGCGACAAAGGAACGTCTCTCCGGTTTCCTGAGTAAACCCGAGGAATTGGAAGTGTCTCGTCAAGTACCTTGAAGGAAATTACAGCAATTTCAGGGAGCTTCCTTTGTCCGAGATAAAGAGGACTCCTAATAAATCATTACTCATTATCTCAAGGCCCCTGTGTTAATTTTCCTGAGTCCATCCAATTAGTGTGTTTTTGTAACAAACATTTATAAAACTTAATTTTCAGATACTGTCAGATAAGTGTCAAGAGACGATGCCCAGGCTTTGCACAGAAAGGGCTGGGAGAGATGTCTGCACACTGACTGATTATGAACCACCAAAGCCCAAGCATGGAGATTGGGTCCTATTGATTCTAATTAGGGAAACATTAAATAAGATTTACCTAGCTGCTGGCTGTTCCTCTTTCTGAATGATGGGAATTTCCCGGCTTCTACCAAATTTCTCTGACCCCGAGTCAAGTTCTCATTGATTTGGTGGAAACAGGTAGCACGTCTCCTGTGTTCAGCGAGAACTGGAACGAGGGTTTTCTCTGGTTGTGTGTCTGTGCACTTGATCCTTGCGTTTTCCTCTAATCCTGAGAATCTGGGGGTTGCTGACAGGTTTTGTTACATGGTCAGAGCAATGAAAGCTGACACTTTTCCCAGCATAACTGAAAACACAGGGTGTTGTTTCTATGGCCCCTACAAGAAGCAACTGTCATTCTCTGCGGTCCCTGCAAATTAAAAAAAAAAAATTCTATTTGACTTTCTCTTTTTACTAGAAAATATGGCATTTGGGGGAGTATTTTCTCCCGTAGCCGCAGTTTAATGATAATTGAATATCTCTGCCAATGAATGGTTATCTGTTGATTATTTGCAGTAAATATATTCCCTCTGGCGGCGATAATAATAAAATATTAAAATATGTCAGAAAAAAATACTTTCTAGTTTGGATAAGTCTCCTTGTGATTGTGTTAAAGGAGAGGCACAGAAAGCTATGTTTTCCGTTCTAATGTATCAGAAGTCTTCCAATTTGGGTTAAAAAGTTAAGATCTTATGGTGAAAGAAAAATGATGTAGTGAACAGGGAACGTTAGCTTTGCACACAGAATCCCGTCTAATACTCCATTTTCCAGAGCAGTAGTACATAGAACATTGAAATACACCGGTTTATTCCTACCCATTGCTAGAGCCTCACTTAGCAGAAAGTGTAACGTCTAAAGCTACACACAGAAATGGAAAATCAGGCCGAGAAGAAAAACCCTTCTGTTAGCAAAGCTTTACAACCCTTCCATAAACCCCGTCACGCCCCTCAGCAGTAAAACACGTTTGATGGGATGCTTTTCATTTGTCTCTAGTGTTTATTTTATGAAGGTTTTTAAAAACATATATCATAAATGCCAGGCAGATAAATCTGAACCAGAAAATGAACTAAAGACAACAGATGAAAATAGGGGATTCAGGAATTAGACAGTCCACAGGGAACATGGTGTAACATTTAAGTAGGAGTATTTTTCTGGAAACCGATATTGGCTATATTTGAGAGATTGGCTGAGGATGTGGGGAGAGGGTGATAGAAAAGAAATTCCTGTTTAATGCATCCCACAGAGAGAGTGTGATTTCGTCTGTAATTCACCCAGGCAGAAGGCTCTGGCCTTTACTCTTCTTTAAAGGAATTAAGACAATTAACGACGCTCATGCCTATTAGGACGATGGGCATTCGTAGTAAGAAGCCTTCTACATTATATTCTAGATTTCAGTGGTTTGCTGTGTAGTTTTATTTTCAAGCTGTTGTGTACTATTTAATCTGCTTCCCCAAATCCCACTTACGAATCAAAGCGGGAACCTGGAGAGCCTCTAACGTCTCTTATCTGTTTGCTATAAAAAATTTCATTCTAGGACCAATGCTTCATGCCCACACAGGCGGGCAGAGCAAAGGAAGAGAGGAATGCACCCTGTTACGCTACTGCGGGAGCTTGTCTTGCTAGGAGTCTTCCGGAGCACCGTTTCATGTTCTGATATTGAACCACGAGTAGAATATGCTGGGTTTATTGTAGACGATTGGAATTATTATTTTTTTTTTTTCAAAACACAACATGCTTTGAGGTTTGTGAAAGAAAGATGATGCTACTAGTGACCGTGTAGTGCTCTGGTCTGATCCCGCAGATAACAAGATTGTTTCCCATTTGTTGGTGGCTGAACCGGAGAAGATCTATGCCATGCCTGACCCCACCGTCCCGGACAGTGACATCAAAGCCCTCACGACACTGTGCGACCTGGCCGACCGAGAGCTGGTGGTTATCATTGGATGGGCGAAACATATTCCAGGTACGTTTTCTGAGAAAAAGAAAGAAAGAAAGGAAAAAGAATAAGGAAAAGGTTCAGTTAATTCCGTAGGTATTATATGTACATTTAGGCAAAGTCTACATTTTCTCGTTAGGATCGTTTTTAACCTTTGCGTTTGCTGTTATCATACTTAAGTTAGCGCTTTGCTGAACTTCACAGAACCGTAAACCTTTCTGTGTCTGTGCCAACTTGGACTCTTGTCAGTTATGTTTTTTTCTCATATGAAGGTGCTATTGCCCATGTAAGATAAAGGAAATAGAATTTAAAAAATGTGGGGGGTATTTTTTTTAAAATTCAGAGCTTTCTCCTAAGAAAATGCTTCTGCTTTTTCTTTTCATGTTAAAAAAAATGTTTCTGTCAAGAGTAGTTTAATGTACCTTTTCTCTCTTTTTTAAGGATAACTTTTCTTATTGTTCATAGTGGCCATTTATACTACTCATTCATATACTGTTCCTATTCATAAGCTATGCTTGGTTTACAATTAGATGTTTACCGTGGATTTATACAGAAATTTGGAAATGTTAAATTGACATCAGAAATTTTCTCATGTGGTAACTTAAACGTAGCATTTAAAAATTGCCTATTGCTTTCCCTTTCCTGACCGATCCTATAATATCAAACCTATGTCTAATCACATGTTGTGAGATGCTGAGTAGTCTAGAATTATTATTTTTTGTTGGCTTGCATCTTGATCTTCAAATAGTTTATAAGACGATTCTTGAAGGATGGGCAATATTTTTCTGGTACAGTTAACTTATTTCTGTCTCCTTAAACTAGTTTGTCTTTATGCTTTGAATGCTACAGTAATTTCTTTAATGAAATTGATGGAAGTCCCTTCCCCAGCCCACACTGAAACCAATTTATTGGTCATGATACGCCCGCTATGTTGCTAACAGTCGTAACGAACTGTCAGGCAGTATCGCAGTGAAGCTAATTTGAAGTCATTAGGTGTGCGGCGTTCAGGCGACAATTTGTTACAGTGGTTAGAAACACAGCTGACATTTCTGAATGGCTTTGTTCGCTGCTGTTCTAGATGAGGCCAAGCAAATTGTAAACTAATTTAAACATCACTCTGTATTATACCAGCTACTTTGTCTTACACTGTTTGCTAATAAAGCACCCCAAATTAAGTCAAAACTAGTTACATAGGTGAGCTTGAGTGTGTTCTTCAGATGATACCTAGACGAGGGTCACTGCACGTACAAAGAGTATGAGACCTGGGTCATAGGAGTGGCTGACATTGCATTGGGATTGTAATCACATGTGCGACTCAAGAAAAAGAAAGAAAGAAGAATATGCCCCACAACACTAAGAATGTTGGCAGTGAGAACACTTAGGATTTGCTTGAACAATAAATATAAACTTATCTGGAAGGAAAGTGCTATGAAGGGTTTTAGAGCCAAAAGAAACAAAAGTAACATTGGTTGAAATCTCCAGAGATACGTTTTTAGATAATCAATATATATTGTCATTTATATTTGTATACTTTATCATTTTATACACACACACATATGTTTAACATATATTATTCTTTTATTTTTTTCCTTTATTGCTTTTTAGAGAGAGAGAGAGGAAGGGAGAGGAAGAGAGAGAGAGAAACATCGATGAGAGAGAACATTGATTGGCCGCCTCTTGCACGCCCTCCACTGGGGATCTGTCCCACAACCTGGGCATGTGTCCTGACCGGGAATCGAACCGGCGACCTCCTGATGCATGGGTCGACGCTCAACCACTGAGCACACCAGCTGGACTAACATATCATTATTCTTTATTCTGAGCAACTCAGTTTCTCAGCCTTGACACGATTCACATGTGGAACCAGATCGTCCTCTGTTGTGACGACTGTCCTGTTATTGGTAGGATGTTATCTGCACCTTTTGCTTCTGCCCACCAGCACCCTTGAGTTGTGACAAGCAACAGTGTCTTCAGACATTGCCAGATGTCCTCTGGGGGTAGATGTGCCCGTCCCCAGCTGAGAACCATTGTTCTAACCCAGGGATGGCTTATTATTGCCCTTAATTCAGAGATTTGAGCAGAGGGTGAAAACAGGGGCCCAGATTCACAACGGTACCCGGTGCCTTCAACGCACATCCTCAGCATTGCTTCCTGCAGTCGAATCAGGATAGTTTAGTGCCCTGGTTGGTTGCACTGGAAAGAACTCTTTCAAAATAATAATGATGATATACTTATTAATAACAACATCATGATGCTTGGCCAGGGTGGCTCAGTGGCTGAGCATCGACCCTGCACCAAGAAGTCACCGGTTCGATTCCCGGTCAGGGCACATGCCCAGGTTGTGGGCCTGATCCCCAGTGGGGGGCATGCAGGAGGCGGCCAATCGATGTTTTCGCTCATCGATGTTTCTGTCTCTCTCTCCCTCTCCCTTCCTCTCTCTCTGGAGATGAATAAAGAAAAAATAATAATAATGACAGCATGAAAGGCTAAGTCACTAGGACTCCAAACCATCCATTATTTCAGAGAATGCTCCCCAAGTCCTCCCTGGTTTAAGGGAGTGGTTAAGCCAATGTTCGGAGCTGGGACAGACATTCCGTAATGAGGACCAATACAGCTCAGCGCCTCTTTTCCACGCGCTCCGCTAAGAAAGTCAGCGACGAATGTGTGGGTCCCCTGTGCATCAAGTAGAAATGTCAGCTTACAAAGGAACCTGTCACCATATGGGGACTCGAGTGACTTTTGTGAAGACAGTAACTTTAAATAACTCTGGGTAACAGCCGTGGCAGTGCTGGAAACAATGACTGCACGATTATGTGTTCAGACTTAAACCGAGGCTTAGCATTGGTGAGCACTGACGTTATTCTCCCTCCATGGAAAATGCCGGCGCAGGTCACTGTGGAGCGATGACTCGCAGCTGTGCTCTCTGTGATACCCCGAGGGCGCTTTCAATGATTGCAAGGAGTATCTTGGCTTTTCAGAAAGGGATTAGCTGAACAAGAATTAACTGGAATGCTTTTTACCTTTTTAGCAATAGGGGTGCCACGGGGCGCTTTGGGTTAGAAGGATGCTCCGCTCTCCAGAGTGCTGGTAGACCTGGGTTCCGATCGCGGGGGGCAGCAGCAGTGCAGAGTGGGAGGGGTGATGGCAGAGGGAATATGCAGGTTACAGTCACATTTCTGCCTCGACGGAAGTAAAATGAGTTGCTGATCACGTAACCCAGACCTGCTACCTGGGATCAGAGCTGGGATGACACCAGCGTTAGTCTTAACTTCAGAACTCTTTATTTTGTAACACTAGAGAAACCTTTCTTTAAATCGTCTCTTTATCGATCTTAGAGAGGGGGGAGGAAGAGGAGAGAGATAAAAACATCGAGGAGAGAGAACATGGACTGGCCGCCTCCTGCACGCCCCTCACTGGGGATCAGGTCCACAACCTGGGCATGTGCCCTGGCCGGGACTTGAACCAGCGACTTCTTGGTGCAGGGTTGATGCTCCACCACTGAGCCACACCGGCCGGGCAAACCTTTTTTTTTGTTTAATATACTCAAATTTAAGCCTTTGCTCGCTTTATCCTACTGTGTTCTCATTGTGTGAAATATCACAAACACACACAGGGAGATGCACACACTTTTTAACATGTTTTTATTGATTTGAGAGAGAGAGGAAGGGAGAGAGAAAGAGCAACATCGATGTAAGACCGGACACCTGGGTATGTGCCCTGAGGTGCAATTGAACAGGTGACGTTTCGGTGACAGGATCACACTCAACCAACTGAGCCCCCTGGCCAGGGCCATACACACACACTTTTAAAAAATCAAGTGTAACATCTAAGATAAGATCGGTAGTGTCTGCACCACTCGGAACGTACTATTCCGTATACTTGCTTTGGCTCCATGAAAAGGGGACGCATTCAACAAAAAAAAAAAAAAAAGGAAAAAAATACATATGAAGTGGGCCTTTTTTATTTTTTATCAGTAAATAGAATTAGTTGACTTTCTTACATAAATCACAGACATGGAAAAGGGGATTGTTATGAAACATGACCATCCTTTATCTACAAGGAAAAAAAAACCACACACACACACAAGTGCTTTAGAAAATGCTTGACTTTAGCTGGAGGAGGGTAAGGGCACGAGAACAGATGATGGTACCCTAATAGCCCTTTTTAAGAATGACAGGGCCCTGCCATTAGCATCCTCTTATATCCTTAGAAATTGCTCCTGCCTCGCTTTTCTGCCTCCTATCTGGCTGACTCCTTTTTATTTCTCTTTCAATTCCGTGCGCGCTCGGATAAGCGCGTGCTAACACAATATGATTGAGCTGTAAAACGGGGCGCTGTCGTCTGTAATCTCTTTTATGTAGATACGGAGGCTCGGCACACTCCACTTCCTTCTCTGGCCATTGTGGGCCTTATTTTTTTCAGAGTGGGCTGCCAAGGAAGAGAGGCCCCGTCCACATCAGAGCTAGGTTTCACGGGGTGTGATAAGACGATGATCAGCCCCACCGTTAGACCTGTTATTGTCTCTCTGCTGTTGATTAAAATATTGCGGTGTCCTCGAACTCGGTGCGCGAAATGCAAAGTGCCCTTCGTCCGACGGGGCTCAAAGGAGCATAACCCATATCAGCTGAGCCTGTAGAAGCAGCGTAAATATATTTATGGATGTGGACAGTTGACTTGAAAAGCAGAGGGAGGCATTGGAACATTTTAGACACCTTTGTTCTTTTGCAAATAGGGCACATTTTTTTTTTTTTTCTTCTGGGTAGGTTTGTTTCTTTTTCACATGCCAAATTAAATAATTACCTACTGGTCAAGTTTGGGGGCCTTGAGTCACATTTTTTTAAATTGTGTCATTGTAATGACAGCAAACAGGAAAAAAATAAATAAACAACCTGTAGTTTTGCTTCATACCAAGTGAAAGCAGGAAACAGAAAACTGTAAAAGAAAAGCCACACCAGGAAAATAATGTGATAAAACGGTCTTTATGTACAGCTATTCATGTTGGAAACAAATCGGAACTACAGAAGCTA